GCCCAAATTTCTGGCAGTCCAAAAGAATTTGATGGCCATGTTGTTTTCATTTCTTAACAGGCCTCGAGGAGGGAAGCCCAAGGATAAATCCGTGTTTAAGAAGCCTACGCGGAAGAAACCCAAAGTTCGAAGCCTGCTCATCGGTACGGCCTTGTCAAACATCCCGCGCTTTTGTACCAGACCACGACCGGTGACCGTCCTTTCATCTTCAACCTCTCAACTCGGGCAAGACTTCCATCACTGTACTTTCTGCATCATACCAAGAACATCAACCATACCTCATCAATTAACCATTCTCGAGAAGGAAAGGACTTCATTGAACTGACATTGTTAAGGAAGGTACCATTTCTGACTAATCCTCATCATAGCTTGATAACTGTCAATCATCCAGGGAAAATTTTGAAATTTTCGAAGCTACAATCTTGGAGAAGAAGTTTAGAGGCTTTAAAAAAACCCCATAACCACTGTTCATACACCATTCGGGTTTGTCTCTAACCACTATTCACTACCATTGCTCTTCTTTGCTCCAAGAACCATTAACAGTCCCCTGTTCCCTCTGTATGGCCATTCTTAAGTCCAGGCCAAGAAGAAGAGAAGGATATTCTAATTCCATGCCCCCTGTGAACAACAATAACCAATCCAATCAGAGTGAAGAGGAACCCATTGATGCCATTACCTTAAGGCATGTTCCTTTTGCTAAAACCCAGCCACCTCCTCATACTCAAACTCAATCCCAAAGAGTTGTGAGGTTTGAACCACAACCACCTCCACAACCACCTCCACAGCCACAATATCAAGCTACCCTCAGAATAACCAGAAGAAGAGCTAGGGGCCTTACCAATTTCAAGCCAGTAAAGCAGTGGAAGGGCAATGTGATTGCACTATCTGATGATAGTGATTCACCACCAGAGAAACCTGCTGCTCCACCCAAGTCCATCCTCTTGTAGCATTGTAATTCTCCTACTCAGTCTGAGTAGGACAGGTTCTACCTTCTCACCTCTTTGTATATATTTTGTTATGCATAAGCCTTTGTTAGAAGCTAATATTATTTTGCTGTTTTGACAAGTAGTATTGTTATTTGGTATATCTAATTTGCTGATTTCATGACTTTTAGATCTAGTATGGTGTCTGTTTTGCTGCCTTAAGCACTTGCTGGTTTGCTGTTTTGACATAAAGTATTGCTATGCCTATAGTATGCTATTTTCCTTTGCTGTTTTTAACATTTCATGGGCATGATGTGGCCAAGGCTAGCCAATATGATAATTATGTTTCTATTCTTTGCTGTTTTTAACATAAATTTTTGTTGTTTCTCCTCAAATTTGTTGTTTCTAATGGCTAGTTACTACCTTGATTTTGCTGTTTTAACCTTCTTGTTTTTATTTCCATTTGTTGTTTTAACTTTTATGCAGTCTTTCTAATAGTTTTTCTTTGCTGTCTTGAGCCATTTGGTTGTTTGATTTATTTATCTCAATGGAGATACTTTTGCTGTCTTTAAGAAGTAGATGTTTGCTTAACTTCTTTAGTGTTTTAAKACATCATCTTAGTATTTYTTTGYTGTTCCAAGTCCTGATTGATTGTTGTCTTGTGTTTCATTTATTTTGTTGTTTTAAGGAACCATCTTACTTCTATTTTGTTGTTTAAGAACATCATGAGCATGTTTTAGCCAAAGGCTAGCATGAGTTATGATTGTTATTTTTGCTGTTTTGAGTGTTATGCAATCCAGATCAGGCATTTTATTTTTCTATATTGATTTGCTGTTTTAAATATTTTCTTCCTTATTAGTCCTTAGCTGTTTTACATATTATGCAACCATGTCCCTGTTTGTTTCTTTGTTGTTTTAACCTTCTTATTTTTAGTTGCTGTTTTAAATCTCATACAGCCCTAAGCCATGAACTTTCTTTGTTGTTTTGGTCTTTTAGGAAACAGGTTTTTAGCCAAACTTTGACTGTGTTGGGATTGTTACTTCTGTGTTTATTGCTTTAAGGCAGTCCCTGTCATAACTTTTATTTGCTGTTTTCACCATGTCCTATCTCATTCATGTTTAAATAGTCCTTGATCATTTAGGCATGGCCTTTTGCTGTTTTAAACCTTATTGGTATGTTTTATTTATCTCACTTGAGATATTTTTGCTGTTTTCATTAGTTCATGGCCATTTATGATTTGTTGTCTTTTGTTTTGCTGTTTTTAGGCAACATTTTACTGTTTAGGAATAAGGTAATACTATACTTATAGTTTGTTGTCCAATTTGCTGTTTTATAGGTCTAGTTTGCTCCTTTCAATTTGTTGTCTTTAAGTGTCCTGTTAAAGCATGGTTTGCCTTTCTATTAATGATTTTGTCTTCTATTTGCCTTAATTGAGATTGTTTGCTGTTTTTAGGATATCTTGTAGTCCTTGTCATGCATTACTTTTACTGTTTTGGTATTGACAGGTTGCTGTTGGCACAGCTGGTCTGATGACTTTGAGGGAGGACCATGATTGATGTTCTAAATTGTTTACCCCCCTAGTCTATGCTAAAACCAGTTCAGGCTAAGTCATAAGAGGACAATGGCAATCCCATCGTCTTGTTCTATTTGATCTTTTTTCATGACAGAACAATGGCAATCCCATTGTTTGGTTCTAATTGGTTTATCTCGTGGTAAAACAATGGCAATCCCATTGTTTAGTTTCAAGTGGCCATGTTGTTTGATAATGCAGTCCTCTGGTTGACTGTGTTGATTTAAAGCTCATCCTTGGTACCACATTTTAACTCTAGGGTCAATTTGACTTAGAGTTGGATTGTTGGTTTTGTTTAAATCTTTTATTTGAGTCTTTGAGTCCTTTTATTTGCACAAGATGACCAAGTCACACTTGTGACTTCTCATCTTTGTTTTTCTGCTTCAATTGTTTTCAGTTTGAGTTTTCTATCATTTTAAAGATAGTCAATTACACTTGTATTGATCATCTTTGCTTTTCTGTTTCATTTTAGGATTTTGGGCACTGATTTTAAGTAGCATATCTTCCTTTGGCCTTATATGCACCAAAAATAGAATAAAAGATGAATTTGTTGTACAAATGCTTGAATTGATGCCATAGCCACAATAATCCAAAGCTTAACCATCTTTGTCTTAATTTGAGCCTCTAGAACTAGCCAACCATTTCAAAAGCTTGAACTTGATTCAATTGGGCTTTCATTTCAAATTTGGCCAATTTGTAGCCTTGTTACACTCACAATGAGGACATTGTTTCCCTTAAGTTTGGGGGAGGGTCCTAAAAGTACCAAACACTTTATAAAATTCATGATATATATGCATTAAGACCAAAAGACAAACAAAGGAACATAGTTCCATGTCTTGTGCATACAAAAGAGTGTCAAAGTACACCAGAATGTTTGAAAAGGACCAAAGTGTCCAAAATACCTCAATATGAGATGCATAGCAGTAAAATTGTGCTATGGAGTGAAAAAAACTAAGAGGAGGTAAAAGGCATGCATTGAAAAGAAAAAGCCAAATGCAAAACCCAATTCAAAGTCCCAAATTATCTGTTGAATCTAGTATAGCGATAGAAATGTAGGCTAGCTTATGGTTTGGCAATATGAAAGACTTAAGTTTGGGGGAGCTAGGTTTATGAAGGGCTATGGATATCAAGCATCAAGTCATGAGTAGAACACTTTCATTCAAAAAATTTCAAAAATATGCATACTTTGGCTATTGAATACTTATGCTCAATTTTTTTAGTTTATTAGAAATTTGAGTCTTTTAATTTGTCATTTTCTGTTGTTTGGGGACAAACAACAATTCAAGTTTAGGGGTGTGATAAGTGTTATTTTATTAACCTTATTACATCATTTTCTTAACCATTTTTCTTTGTTTTATTTGCCCATTAGTGTCTTAATAGAGTCTTTTTATGTCTTTTTCATATATTAGTAGTTATATAGTATATCTAATGTTAATTCCCTGTTTTCACAGGTTTTTGATGATTTTTGGGCCCAGTCCTACGGCAGTCCTACAGGACCAGGTGTGGCAAGATCCTATAGTACCTGTCTGAGAGCTGAATTTCTGCTTGGGCCGTGAAGAAATGGGCTGTTCGATAGAGGAGGCGTGGTCAACGACCTTGGGCCCGGTCAAAGCACAGTTTTGAAGAAGCTTTTGTCATATTAGTTGGCACCCACTATGAGATCTTCCTTAGCCTATATAAAGAGGCTTAAGGCTTGTTTTAACACACTTTTTTCATACTTTCTACCATTTAACACTTGTGATATTAGTGACAATTGCTCTCTAGAATATTGCTTTCGGTTCTAAGCTTTCGGTTTACGTTGTTTGACTTTTCAAGAACCAACTTTTGTAGTTGTGCTTTCATTCTTAAATTTTAATTCAAGTATTCGTGTTTAATCTTCATCTCATTTCTGTTCTAAGTTACGTTACGTTTTCTTATCTTTTACAAGTTACGAATTAATCGATCGTTGTTGCTTTACATCGGATCTCATCCGTTGTGGGTCACGGTTAATTTACGTAGACTCAATAATCTATTTTTACGAGTTTGCAAGTAATCTTTCCGTCTTTATAATGAAACTTGTTTTGTAAGTTTCGTTACTTAGTTTGCAAGTTTTCTTCAAAAGTCAACTCCATTTTCCAAGGTTTTCTTATGTCACATCCTCATCCCATCAAAGTACCATTTGTCATC